GTTTACATCATGAAGAACTTGAAGTTCTGTATCTTGTTTGTTAATCAACAAATGATGTTCAAAATTTTGCCAATCAATAGATAATGCCTTAGGTAGGAATTATAAACATTAGAATTAGTTCCTAAAAATCAGCTGAAACCGTATCCAGGCTCCTTTAATTGCAAAATTTAAATTCCCTGCAATGTTGCCATGTAAAACACAAGAGAATTCTACCAAATATTAGTTTTAATGTTGTGCCATGAAATTGTTTACATAATTAAGTTAAATATATTATTATATGTTCATTCAAACAGATTTTTTTATTTTCTATATGTAATCGAAAACAAGGCACGATCCTTGTTTACATTATGAAGAATTTTAAGCTCTTGCTGTTTACTAGTATTTGAATCGCCTTAATTAGGAATTGTAAATATTACAATTGATTTTTTTTAAAAGCGGTTGGAACTGTGTCCATGTCCCTTTAGCACCTGGCAAATTATTTGATTTTTTTTTATTGAGCACTATTTGTAATATCATTTGTAATGTCATTTGTAATGTCATTTTACTCTTTTTCACGTGAGATCACAAAATTGTTAAAATTCCAAACTAATGTTTGACTACCAATGCCTCTTTAACCTCCAAGAACCAGCATTTCTTCCAACATACGAGGAAAATCTGATCTCACAAAAATAACTGGCATTGGCAGTGAAAAATTCTTCCTTTCTTTCTGTTTTAATCAGCTTTTAAAGATTTTTTTATAGAAGATACTGATTTTTTTCATTTATATGTTGCTATGTTTAAATTAATATATCCTTTAAAAAAAATATGGCATGCAAATTTTCAAGCCCACGTAAACGAAGTTCGGGTTATATATTGTTTGCCCTGTTCATCCTTCCATCCGTCTGTCTATCTGACAGTGTCAGTCTGTTTGTCCGCAAAAAGTTTAATCTTGCCCATAACATTTAAGTGGGTGAATAAAGCTTTCATATTTAATAGGCGTATTACTTTTGACAAGACCTTTATTTGGGTACCACCAAATTTGACACTTTGTTAATAATGTTTCCAATGCTGTGTGTTATTTTATAAGAAAACTTAAAAACAAAGTGACTTGTAGATGTCAAATTTCAAGAAGAATTTGTTTTAGGTTTCTTGAGCTTCAGTTTTTATATTTCAGCTTATGGCCAAATGCAAGTCAAATTCCAAATTTATGGTCCAAAGGTTAGAATTGTTGGTATCAAAAGAAAGGTCTTGGCACAAGGAATACACCTGTGAAATATAAAAGCCATACCCCACCCACTCAAAATTTATGGGAAGGTTAATTTTTTTGCAGACAAACAGACAGACAGATAGGCAAAAACTAAATGCCCCCGAATCTTCAATTACTGTGCACACAAAAGCAAGTAATTGAAGTTATTTTATTTTACAAGAGATGCCCATTGCAAAATTATGTAATAATACATTCAAATAAAGTTTAAAGAAAATGTGAAATGAAACAAAAATAATTTTGAAAAATAAAATTATTACATTTATGAATGATTAGATAAATTTGTGAATACATGTTGTATTTTAGTTCTAAGACAGAAGCTGATGTATTTTCATATTGATATTTTGACAAAGGTGGTATTGCATATGGATTTGTCATTTTGCTTAACCATTTCTTTGAGATTTTTATCTCTTTTTATTGAAGATTGTGCACTGCAGGGTCAAAATTTTTTATGTTTTGAATATCTATTGGACTTGAAATTACATGCAACTTCTTGAACTATTCTTTTATACAGTCATAAACTCAAAAATGAGTACAATTACATGTATCAACAAGTCAAGGTTAACTTCTAATGTCATACAGTACATTGGAAAGTTCAATTTCTTGCAGAATATTTTTATTCAAATCTATTATTAGTTTATACAATATTTTATTCATGCACATGTATCATCAATTAATAAATTATTTTAAAAATGTATGTGTTACTTGAATAAAATCAATCCAGAAACCTGAGTTATTTCCAGAGGAAATATGATATTGATTTACTTTCTTTTGGCTTATATTCATTAATGACTTTTTTTTTCCATTTCATAAATACATAATTTTATGAAGTTTTGAAAAATTGATTTTCATCCTATCTGCTCTATATAATAGAGTTTTTTTTCTATTTTTTTTTAAACAAATCAATAGCTTTACAAATCTGAATATAAAGAAACTAGAAAACTGACCAGTCATCAAGGGCCCCACCATGGGGTAGAATTTAAAGGGTACAGCTTACAGAATGATTAAATGTGCAAAGAATAAGCAACAGCAACTGTATTCTTAAAATTTCAAGATAATTCCTGAATATTCAAAAACCTGAAAATAATATCCGTGTATTTACATTAGGCAGTAAAGAACAACTTAACATTGAATGTATATTTAAACAATTATGAAGCTTGTGTTATATAAAATGCCAGCCTTCAATGAATGCAAATATCATGAAGGCTTGACCTTAACTTCAAACAAACAGCAGTTGCAGACAAAGGTTTTCATTAATCTTAAAGTGACAGATAAAGAAAAGCCTACTAAATATTCTGCAGCAGGCTAGATAATTAATCCCAAGAGATTAATTGTACCTCTCTCATCATTTTCTTCTAAATTTACAATAAGAACTTTTTCAGTATTAATGATAGAATGGGGTTTTTATACAACTACATTAAAAATTAATAATATTCTTGAATTAATATATTTAAAAAAAAAGTGAAAAAAGTACCCTGGTAAATCAAAAAATCTTCTTTAATCTATTTCTTTTTTTTTTTAGAATTCAATGAAATCATAACTAACAAACAAACATAGGTAATCAAAGATTACGAAGCTCACCTCGACAAATGTTATCAGTTTATGTAATGCAAATCTCACATCATATTTTCTTAATATTTAGTATTCATCCCAACAACATTCTTGCAAGTTGTGTTTAACCCCTTACATGGCATATACACATTTCTATGCATGTAGCGTGAAAAACATGTATAGTGTAAACAAATATTCATAACTGTTAATACTGCAGATATCAAGGACTTCAAGTTCATTCAGATTGATCTGTTCCCAAAACTTTAACCTGGTCTCTTGTATGGAATATATAGGTCAAATCCAGCATGCGAAGCAAGTCTGATAGTGTCCATCCTTAAATGCATTATCCATGCAAGTTTGGTTTAGCTAGGGCTTATAGTTACTTGGGAATGAAAAAGTAGGTCAGATCCAGCATCCGCAGAAAGTCTGGTAGTGTCCATCCCTAGATACATCATCCATGCAAGTTTGGTTTAGCTAGGGCTTATAGTTACTTGGGAATGAAAATGTAGGTCAGATCCAGCATCCTACGCAAGTCTGGTAGTCTACATCCCTAGATACATCATCCATGCAAGTTTGGTCCAAATAGGGCTTACAGTTACTTGGGAATGAAAATGTAGGTCAGATCCAGCATCCGAAGCAAGTCTGGTAGTCTACATCCCTAGATACTATGGTTTCATCAATTTTCGTTGCTATCAATTTTCATGGATTTTGTAAAACAGACGTTTTCGAGGATACGTAATTTCGTGGATCAAAGCATTGCCTATACAAATGTATGTGATATTTCGTAATTCAATGAACATTTGAATTCGTGGATCTGCTCAACAACGAAATCCACGAAAATTGGTGCTCAACGAATATTGATGAAACCACAGTACATCATCCATGCAAGTTTGGTCCAAAAAGGGCTTACAGTTACTTGGTAATGAAAATGTAGGTCAGATCCAGCATCCGAAGCAAGTCTGGTAGTCTACATCCCTAGATACATCATCCATGCAAGTTTGGTCCAAATAGGGCTTACAGTTACTTGTGAATGAAAATGTAGGTCAGATCCAGCATCCGAAGCTAGTCTGGTAGTCTACATCCCTAGATACATCATCCCTGAAAGTTTGGTTCAGGAAGGGCTGATAGTAACTTGGTAATGAAAATGTAGGTCAGATCCAGCATCCGAAGCAAGTCTGGAAGTGTCCATTCCTAGATGCATCATCCATGCAAGTTTGGTCCAAATAGGGCTTATAGTTCCTGTGGAATGGACCTGTTCCAAAAACCTTAACCTGGTCACTCATCTGGAAAATGTAGGTCAGATCCAGCATCCGAAGCAAGTCTGGTAGTGTACATCCCTAGATGCATCATCCATGCAAATTTGGTCCCAGTAGGGCTTATAGTTCCTTGGGAATGGACCTGCTCTAAAAACTTTAACCTGCTCCAAAAACTTTAACCTGGTCACTCATCTAGAAAATGTAGGTCAGATCCAGCATCTGAAGCAAGTCTGGTAGTGTACATCCCTAGATGCATCATCCATGCAAGTTTGGTTTAGATAGGGCTAATAGTTACTAGGGAATGGACTTGCTCCTAAAACTTTAAACTGGGACGCCGACGCTAACGCCGACGCCAACGCCGGGGGTATAGCATAAGCTCATCTCGACTTCGTCGAGGTGAGCTAAAAATAAATAATGAAAATTTATATTTAAATCCACATTTCAGAGTGTTCATAGCATTCCAAATTGATTTAACTTCAAAACTTCATTTGCAGACAGAGGTGGTAATTAATCTCAATGTGACAGATAAAGATAATGCTCTGGATTTTCTTCAGGAGGAAAGCTAATTAAACCCAAGAGACTCCTAGCAGCATTCAGTTTACAATGGGAACATCTTCAGCAGTTATCTCTCTTTGCCAATGCATTCTTATATAAAGTTAAGGAATTTACACCACCACCCCAGCTCCAAACCATGGGACATAGAGAACCAAACTTAGCATCAAAATATGTATTTCTGCCTACTGAACTACCGTAACAAATTTGTACTTGATTGGGCAACCATAAAAAAAGTTGCCCGTTCATTCTTATGCATAGTTAAGGAATCTACCCCACCACCCCAGCTCCAAACCAGAAGACATAGAGAACCAAACTTAGCATCAAAATATGTATTTCTGCCTAATGAACTACCATACCAAATTTAAACTTGATTGGGTAACCATAAAAAAAGTTATTAAAAAAAACAGAAAATTTGTGGACGGAAGAGTGACAGACGGACAGACAGACAGACGGACGGACAGAGTGATTACTATAGGGCACCCGCAAATCCTTGCGGGGCCCTAATAACTGTTTTCACAACTCACTGTTTTCAGTAAAGAAATGAGAATATAAACATTGTCCATGTCGTTGGTAAGGATTTCTTGAGTACATTTTAAAGTTTTAGTTTTATTTTTTCACATCACAAATTAATTGGCTAAGTGTCCGCCATTATGCCTTATAATGTTGATACACCAGAGAGAGATCATCCTCACTACTGTTATAATGGCCGAGGTTGTGATTGGTCACCACCAGGTACAAGTCTTTCTCACACCACCGCCGGGCCGTCTGTGTGTCTGTCTGTATCAAACCACACTCTACTGCATGGTCAAGGAGAAGAGCACCTACAACAAAAATTATATCATTATAAAACTATAATCAATGAAAGTAATGCATTTGATTTCTAATTTAATAATTTCAAGTCTGCCTATCTTCATAAATAGAAACGAACAAACAAACAAATAAAAAACTGTCAAAGACTTGTGAAATTTAATGCCAGTATCCAATCTAAAGTTTCCTAAGATTTGAATGCCATTTTCATAGATTACCTATTAATTTTATGATGATCATTTTTTAAAAATTAATTTAAAGAATTTTTACCATGATTCAATTTTTGTTGATATATAAAAATTTTTATGCCAATAAATTATCCTTTGCTACAAAAAAATATATATTTTTGGTGTTTCATGGATTCTAAGTAAGAAAAATCTCATGAGGCATATTCTATTAGCAAGTAAACTCTGGGATATCATATATTTTATGACTTAATAAAAACAACCTTTCTATATTTTTACTAATTTTTATCTTTATGTAAATATATTTAAGTCGGTTAAAGAGCTCACCACAGCTAATGTTATTTCTGTTGTATATATGTGGCAACTATAAATAAAATTTACTTGACTAGACTTGACCTCATATTATTTCGTAAAATGCATTAGTAAAGATTTCATACACACCCATGTATATCCTAGAAAGACTGTATGCTAGGTCCCTGGCAGCCATGTTTAATTTGTCTGGGTTCTTCTGTACAAAGTTCATGACCTGTAGGGTGGCCTCCTTAACTCTGTGACCTTGATCCTTTAAGTCCTGGACCCTGCTGACCTTGGTAACCTTGGAGATGACATCATCATGGAATGCGACCAGCACCTCCCCCCGTGATTTTGTGATGGCTCTCAGTACGTCTAGGGACAAGATGTTGGTCGTCCCCTCCCAGATTGTCAGCACCTTTAGAACAAAACATGTCCACATGTGTCAGCCAGTGAAACTTGGGAATGTGTTTACATCACTAAGGGAAGATTGTCATACTTATATCAGAAATTATTAACATGTATTACAAGGACAGTAACAGATTGTCAGCACCTTCAAAACAAAACATGTGCACATGTGTCAGCCATTGAAAATTGGGAATGTGTTTACATCACGAATCAAAGATTTTAATTAATAGTGGAAATTGTTAACTTGTATTGTGACACGATAGCGGTGTTTTTCTTTGAAGTTTACTGTTCTGTATTAGCAATACAGAACGGGACTGTGGTGGGCGGAGCTACTTTCCGTTCTGTATTAGCCCTGTATACAGTATTGTATTTGCCAACTATTCTGTATCTAAAATACAGCACGGTCTAAAAATAAATCTGATTCAATTTAGCAAAAGCACGTACAAATAGTAAATGCCAATGTTTTCCAATAATAAATTTTGGGGAAATAGCCGGTATTTTCCTGAGAATGTAAAATGTCAAAATTTCTCAATCACTTTTTAAAAACTTATTCCACACAGAATCTACACGTAATTTCGATCCAAACTAAAAGGAAAATTCGCAATAACGGAAAACATCCTCTGTACGTAATTTAGATCCAAACAAAACGGAAAATTCACGGAAAACATCCACTCTCCCCGTGCAAAATCATTCAGGTCCATTTTTCCGTGTTTTTTATTTTTTAAAATCCTTCTCGCTGACGACAGCCACACGTCTCTTTCATTTCGTTTTTAATGTCGCAATTCAATTTGAAAATAAAAATCCGTGACATCAAAGTCCATCGAAAAATTTTCTGTAAATCCTGTTTTCGTAAATCCAGTTAAACCGGAATTTTAATACTCCTGAAATATATTATGATAAATAAATCTCCATCTACAATAGATCACAACAATGACGGTTAAATCCTCCAATTTATCCATTAAGACTGACTAATCACTCGATTACGTCTACCCCGTTAAACTGTCAAAACTAATCTGACCGAATTTTACGTTTTCCGTGGAAATATATATACTGCGGATGCGTACTCCCCGTCGGGGCCTCATCTACAGAACTCTAGCGGAAGTTTGGATGCTGCAAAGTTATAA